CAATCTTGCTGTTATAAAAAGAAAGCTCAGAAAGAGATGGATAGCAAGGAGGAGAGCATTGCAATGGACATTCAGAGGAACAGGAAGGAGCAGAGGGAGAGAGAGAGAGAGAGACAGAGACAGAGAGAGAGAGAGAGTAAAAGAGACAGAGAGGGAGAGAACTCTCGGAATCCTCAGAGGAATTTCCAGTTCTGAAATCCTTTGAGATAACTGTGAGTTAGTTTCTCTGAGGGAAGCAATAGTGGATTCATTGTTATGTTTTTTTGAGTCCTCAAAAATACCAGTTGAGATATGCTTCTATTCTTGCCTTACATCCTTTTCTTAACTGACTGCCCAGACAAACTAATTTAGGAATTTCAAAGGAGCCCCATGTTGGCCAATTTTGTTGTAAATCATCCCAGGTAATTGTAGTCCAGCAAGACAAATACTTGCAGGACTAAGGCCCATAGTTCTTTTTTTTTTTTTTTTTTTGCTGTACGTGGGCCTCTCACTGTTGTTGCCTCTCCCATTGCAGAGCACAGGCTCCGGACGCGCAGGCTCAGTGGCCATGGCTCACGGGCCCAGCCGCTCCGCGGCATGTGGGATCTTCCCGGACCGGGGCACGAACCCGTGTCCCCTGCATCAGCAGGTGGACTCTCAAACACTGTGCCACCAGGCAAGCCCAGGCCCATAGTTCTTATACATAAAACCAGCAGAAGTTTAATGAAGAAGGAGGCTGCCCTTAGAGAGCGAACTTCTCATATTCCAAAAGTAATTATTTACCAGGAAGAAAAAGAAAAAAGGAAAACAAAATCCCAAGAACAGAAGCCGGCAGCCCAAACAAAAGAGGAAGTGAAATCCTGAAGGCCACTTGAACAAAACAGAAGATGGGGAGTGAGATCCTGGAGGACAGTAGCTGGTAACAGAGGACACCCTGTCTCCTACCAAGGTGGGAGGTTTCAGTACAGAGGACTTCCAACCAAATTCTGGGACCGCTAAGGAGACAATAGAGCTCGACTCTTGCAGGTACCTTACTCAGATCCAAGACAATGTATCCATCCACAATGTATCCATCACCCAAAAAAGAAATTTCTTTTTTCTTTTTCCTAATCAGTATTAGGAAAATACTGATTTCCAAATACCTCTTTGGAACTTCGCAATGGGTTACATTTTCTTTTTAAGGCAAGCTCAGAAGTACTACATGTTGTGGAATGAACTCCTACATAAGAGTCAGTGACTTCCCTGGAGGTCCAGTGGTTAAGACTCCTTGCTTCCACCGAAGGAGGCACGGGTTTGATTTCTACAGGGAACTAAGATCCTGCTGGCAGTGTGGCAAAAAGGATAAAAAGGGGTAGAGGATAAGTCATAGAATTGGCCTCAACTTGAAGTGACCACTACACTGCTTTTAAATTTCAAGAGATGAGGCGCTTATAGCAAGGTTGGAAGAAGATAAGAAAGGTCACTCACTTCATTCAATATAAGAGTTACTCTGGCATTTTCAGGTTCAGAAAGTCCAAGTCCACAGGAAATAAAAAATGCCCAGGGGGCTTCCCTGGTGGCGCAGTGGTTGAGAGTCCGCCTGCCAATTCAGGGGACGCGGCTTCGCGCCCCGGTCTGGGAAGATCTCACATGCTGCGGAGCGGCTGGGCCCGTGAGCCAGGGCCGCTGAGCCTGCGCGTCCGGAGCCTGTGCTCCGCAACGGGAGAGGCCACAACAGTGAGAGGCCCGCGTACCGAAAAACAAAAAAAAAAAAAAGCCCAGGTTTGCTTCTTTATTTTTCTGTCCAGGTCAAACCTAAGTCTTCTGTATACATTCCATTCTTTGAAATCCACTCTTGAGTTATTTTAAATCCTACTCTTTCAGAGTTCAAGGACTGGTCTGGTTGATTCTCTTGGTAGAGAGGAGGTAAAGAGGAGACTTGAGGTGTTAAAGTGTCTAGATTTGCCAGGCAAACAATTTGGACTATCTGCATGACAAAGCACTTATTTAACATGGTAGGTCTTCTGGTGCATTTAAGTATTTTATAGATCATTAACTGCTTGAGAGAGCTGGGAAACAGACTGAAGTGGAAATAGCTGTTTCTAGGTAAACACACTTCTTTCCCAGAAAGGAAAAATAGACTCCTAGAGATTCTAACGTTTCCTTAAAGGGAAAATAAGTTCCTAGTTACAGAAAAATCTCAGGAGAAACATACTGTGGAAATGAGGTACAGAGCTACACCCAACCAATATTTGTCACACCCAGCTACGGGCCAGACCTCGGACCAGGTCATGCACATTATGCATTTAATTCTTCAAGCATCCATGAACTGTGTAGCATCATCCCCACTTCCCGGATAAAGAAAATTAGGTTCAGAGAGTTGCAATGATTTTTCAATTTGGTTTGGAGCTGAGATTTGAACTCACAAAGGAGCCCATGTTCTTTCCATACTGGACAACACCAAGCTGAAAATGGAGAGAAGTTGATGAGGTCACCCACAGTGACCACTTCACAGTGACACATTTTCCCTTCCTTTCTTTTTTTTTTTAAATTTATTTATTGGTTTATTTATTTATTTTTGACTGCATTGGGTCTTTGCTGCTGCACGCAGGCTTCTCATTGCGGTGGCTTCTCTTGTTGCAGAGTACAGGGTCTAGGCACGTGGGCTTCAGTAGTTGTGGCACATGGGCTCAGTAGTTGTGGCTTACAGGCTTAGTTGCTCCACGGCAACTAATGTGGGATCTTCCCAGACCAGGGATCAAACCCACGTCCCCTGCATTGGCAGGCGTATTCTTAACCATTGCCCCACCAGGGAAGTCCCTCCCTCCCTCTCTTTGCCTTCTTTTCCCCCTTAAAAAGTTGGATGAATTTCTTTTTTTTAATTAAAAAATTTTTAAATTATATAATTTTTAAAGGTTACTTTTCATTTATAGTTATTAAAATATGCATGATTTTACCGAGTCCTTAACAGAGTAGTAAACAAGAGAAAAGCCAGTGATACTACCTTATTCTAAGAAAAATGTCTCACTGTGGCATATTTATTTAACCTATAGATTTCTACTTTACATTATACAGAATTACGAGTTAAAAGACCCCAGAGGTAAAAGCGATGACAGGAATGGAGCTTAGAGGCAAACATATCCAAGCACCTTCAATTTAACGATGCTACAGACTGTGATAAGATGAATTCCAGCCTTTAATGCTCGCCTAGACTAAAGCATGCAGTTGGTGCGTTGGATTAACACTGGCATGTGGGAGCTGGGGAGTTTCAATGGTCCGATTTGCTTTTCCCTTTTTAGGGATTACAGTCTAGAGGTCTGTTTGCTTTCACACTGGGCTAAAGGGTGACAGCTTGATTTGGGGAATCAGATTTTCTGTTGCTAAGAGATAGAAATTCTGAGCAACTGGACGCTATTTGTTACAGAGTGTAGAATTCAAGGTGATATTTATTTATCAATTTATTAACATTTTATTTATTTATTTTATTTTATTTTTGGCTGTGCTGTGTGTTAGTTGCAGCATGCAGGACCTTCGTTGAGGCATGCAGGATCTTTCCTTGCAGTGTGCGAGTACAGGCTTCTCTCTAGTTGTGGCATGCGGGTTTTCTCTCTCTAGTTGTGGCTCGTGGGCTCCAGGGCACATGGGCTCTGTAGTTTTGCAGCACGTGGCTCTCTTGTTGAGGTGTGCAAGCTCAGTATTTGTGGCGTGGGCTTAGTTGCCCCGTGGCATGGGGGATCTTAGTTCCCCAACCAGGGATTGAACCCGTGTCCCCTGTATTAGAAGGCAGATTCTTTACCACTGGACCACCAGGGAAGTCCCTCAAGGTGATTTTTATACATGAGTCACAAACACCGTGGGGACGACTTGTTGAAACAAAGAGGAAGGAGCCAAGATATAGCGTGGGAAAACCTGACCTCAGGTCTCTGTTCCCTCCTGCTCCCCATACCAGACTGGCTTGGGCAATTCTAAGCCTTGTTGATGAAGAGTTTTCTCATCTGCAAAATGGATACCATAGTTTTGCCTTTGGAGAATTGTGAGCCTAAAATAGGAAAACTGACACAAAAAGTGTTTATAAACTGCAAAGCAATCATTTGAAAATTAGTAGTTAGTATTATTTTGCTTCATTTAAGAGGACCAAGAGGAGCTTATCTTCCTTATTGTTCTCACTTGGTGGCCTGAGGTCTCTGGTCCTGATGCCATTTTTATAATTTGTGTTCCTATTTACCTACAAATTATGTGTTTTCTTACGAAGTTTTTCATTGAAACTTTGTTCTTTGGCAATCCTAGCTCAGGCTGGATATAAAAGTGTCAGTCCAGTCAAATTGTATTGTTGAACAATGAATGTAGAATAGAGCAGAGGGTAAGATGGGACTCTGGGAGGGCTAGGGGATGAGGGTGTCAAACCCCTGCTCTAATGTTTACCAACCGCGACTTAGTTTCCTCACTTGTAGAATGGGGTTGGTAATGAACAGTAACTACCTCATAGGGTTTTTAAACTTTAAATGAAAGAACACACATGTGGCATTATGTGCCTAGAACATAATAAGTGCTAAACAAATATTGTTTTTATTACTGTTATTATTAGAAACTCAAAATTGTTCTCAGAACAGAGACCACATGACCTTTTGATGTGGTCAAAGGCAAAGCTGTATAATGCTGAGCTATGTCAAGGTGTGTTCTAGGGAGTTGTTGGCACATTCCACAGTATCTAGAACATGTCCACAAGTTCAGTGGCTTAGTCATTGGAAATGTAGCCATCTTTGGTCATTCTTAGGCTTTGAAGGTAACTCCATACACATTTGATTTGATTTAATTTAGTCATCTTTTCAAAAAATGCGGTAATAGCCAATTTTACTGGTTTTTAAAATTAATTCATTAACTTCCAAATTTCTACTAAGGTTTTTTTCCCCTTCCCCTCCTCGCTCTCCCACCCCTCCTTTCCTCTCTTTTTCTTTTCTTTCCATAACCTCCTTCACTTTCCCTCCCCTCCCTACTTCGTTTGCTTTGCTTTTCCCTCTCGTCTCCCTTTTCTCACTGCTCTCTCCCTCTCCCTCTCTCTCTCTCAGAATCTGTGCCAGGCCTGGCTGGAGCACAGACATCCATCAAACATGATCCCTACCCACAGTCCAAGAGGGGTGATAAGGTGAGGGGGCAAAGGGCAATGCCATGAGGTAGAATGTGGTGAGAATCTCAAATACCCTGATGGTTTAGAGGACAGATCACCCAGAGAAATTAGGGAGGTTCCCATGATATGAACTTTGAGCCAGACCCTGAAGGATGGTTAAGATCTAGCCCCATGAGGTTGGATTTCCATGGTGTGTCAGCTTGGATTTTTCTCCCTCTTCCTTAGCTCTATAGTTCTTCCAGGCTACTTTGTAGCAATTTGAGTCTAAAGCATCACCTGCCACTGGAACCCAAAGGTCTAGGAGGAGCTTCAAGCTGTGACAAGACTCCCAATGGATTCATCTGAGGTTAACCCAACCTGGACCCTGGAGTCTCCTCAAACGTCCATTGATGAAAATTCCCAGGCAATTCCAGTTGCCTCTCAACCTATGTCTGAAGTGTTAATAAAGAACCTCAGTAACCTGACACCCAACCCTAGTATCAAATTGCCATTCATTCTACCAGAATGTCTACCTCAACCAACTGGGCGGTTACTTGGTGAAACCATACCCTATAGGAGAGGGGTGAGGACCGTGTTAACTGATCGGAGAGATAAAATAGAACGTCTGATTCAATCTGTTAAAAAACGCTACAGCAAAGGAGTTCCTCGGCCTGACTCTCAAAGAGAACCATGGCAGAATGATGTTGAGACTCAGTCAAGAGGGCAAAGATTTAGAAGTAGCTGTCGTTTTTGCTGGTTTCATAGAGATCCTTCTGAGGATAATTATGAGAGTTATCACAACAATAAGCATTACAGTAATTATGACATGGAGTCGAAGGAGCCATAAACCTTATTCTTGTACTATTTTTTCTTCCTGGTAATTTTAGGATCATTATGAAGCTTGGGAAAGATTGTGCACCAATATTTTGATAACCTATATTACAAGTTCTGTGATGTCCATTTTTCTTGCATCTCTTTACTACCTTAATACAGTAACTTATAAGGAATCTATGTAGCTTGCATTTGAATGACTTGAATATATTTTAGTTCCACTTTGTGAAACAAAGTAACTTGTGTGGAAGGAAAGTGAAGAAAACGTTGAGTGGCTTGACCACAGCATTATCAGAACAGCGTGTTGAATTGTAATAAAAATTTTTGATGTGCTGTTTCAATTTTCAGTAGCAAATAAATGTGTTTATAGGGGATCTTATTAAAATTTGAGACTTATTTGAGTACCTTTAAAAAAATTCTTGTTATTTTAGACTTGTTTTTTTCTTTTTTCTTTTTTCCTACGGTACGCGGGCCTCTCACTGCTGTGGCCTCTCCCGTTGCAGAGCACAGGCTCCGGACGCGCAGGCTCAGCGGCCATGGCTCATGGGCCCAGCTGCTCTGCGGCATGTGGGATCTTCCCAGACCGGGGCACGAACCCGTGTCCCCTGCATCGGCAGGCAGACTCTCAACCACTGTGCCACCAGGGAAGCCCTAGACTTGTTTTTGCTGGCTATGTATTAACTGAATAATACTTATCCCCATCATAGTCCCAGGGTGTAAATATCCAGCATTCTAATATTTTGTGATATTGTCATGTTGGGAAGGAAGTTTATACATTTGGGTAAGGTTAGAAAACAAGGGCACAGATATTTGCACATATTAACCTCTTGGAAGAAGTTATCAGCTGGTCTTGGTTGGAGGGAACTGAAAGAATGATAGTGGTATATAATACTAAGGGAAGATGCAGCCCCAATGGTGTTTTAGTTCAGTTATTTTCTTTCATAACCTAAGTGTACACAGACCTGGATTTCTTTGTGGGATAAAAGAGATACATAAAACTCATCTTCTGCCATCCAACTATCTTTTGTTCACTTAAAAAATATATTAAAGAATTGGATACATGGGACTTCCCTGGCGGTCCAGTGGTTAGGACCGCTGCTCTTTCACTGCCCAGGGCCTGGGTTTGATCCCTGATCGGGGAACTAAGATCCCACAAGCTGTGTGGTGTGGCCCAAAAAAAAGAGAATCCAGTTGCAAAGCAACTAGAGACCTGGTGGTATTCAGAATGAAGCAGAAATAGCCCAAACCTGTGCAAACAAATGGCAAAGAAGTTCAACAGTGATGTTAAAAAGGGATATTAAATATTAATATCCACCAAGGTAGGTCTTCAGAGGTTGTCCTACTTAGAATTACTCAAACCATCATGGTCTACAGCATGGGTGAATGTGGGTGGTCTTGAGGTTTTGTTAAACTTGCAAGCTGTTCCTAGAGGCAAGGCCGTCTTGACTGCTGTATGCATTTGAAAACCATTGACTAGTGAAAAAACTTATTTGTTGTAATCATGTTAAATGTATTAAAAAAAAAAAAAAGATCTAGCCCCATGAAGACTTAAAGAGAGGAGAGAAGGATGCGCATTCCAGGCTGAGGAAGCAGCAGGAGCAAAGGCATGGAGGTGGGCCGCTCCTGAGGAAAATCAATGTAAGAAATTAGCTACAACAACTACTATAACCCTTCCCCCTGCCTTTTGCAGAGTCAGCTCAGACACTCTTCATGGCAAAAGTGGGTGTGGTGGAGACAATCCCTGGTTCTGACCTACATTCCCACGCATCAAATTGTTTCCCAGGCTTGACTTCCCTGGCCATTCTTCCTAGCTCCCAAGGTTTACCAGACATCCGAGTGGAATTTATGTGTGGCATTTACCCATTCAGATAGTAAACTATTATTATCACATCAGTCTCTAAGGGACCATTGTGATACCTGTTACTCAATCCAGCGCTGCTCCCTCTAGTTTTATTCTGTGTTGGAGTCATCAGTGAACTGCAAAGGGAAGCAGCTTCAATTAAGGTCACGCACGAAGATACCTTCCTCAATACTACCTGTGCTAACATCTTGACAATTATCCTTGGGCATGCTCAGTTCATATTTTCAGTATTTTTCCCATCCGTTCATCAGACTTTCACTGAGCAGATCAAAATTCCCCACGTGGATGGGATATAAGGGACAGTAAAACATGGTCCTTACCTTCAAGATAGTCTAGAAGAACTAAGAGAATGCAAGGCAGAAGGTAATTGGGAGCACAAGAGAAGGACAGTGAAAATCTTTTAGAATTAGTATAGTGACAGTCCCCCAAACCACCACCCCCCCAACCCAAGAGCGTGTTAAAGAGGTTGTTCTGGAAGAGGTGGAATTGTTAAGCCTCAAAACATGGGAATGGTTCTGTTGACCTGGCCTCCTAAACCTTGAGACCTACAGAAACACTTTGGAATGCTTGCTTGTTTTTTTTTTTTCCCCTGTGAAATTTGTATCTGGCCATAGCCCCATGGTTGGAGGGTAATAGGGAAAACTAGCTCTTACCTGAGCATCTGCCTCATGACTCTTGAGCGTTGTTGTGTGTGCCAGCATTCACATCCTGATTCCTCAGTAAGTGATGGCAAGACTTTTCCCCTCAAGGCTCTAGATCTACCAGATTTCAAAGGCATAGGACTCTGCCAAGAATGTTTAACTCTGTAAACATACAGAATTATATTCAAATAATGTTTTTCAGGTTGAATTCTAGACTGATGACCTCTCTTAACTTCACGGGGGTTTTGGTGTTTATTTCCTCAGGATGAATTCCACACTTACTCTTGGAAAAAGGTAGTGTGGGTCTGCCTGTCAGCATTGAACAGTGCATTTCGGCTCATTCCTGATCACCCTCTCATCACAGATGAGGAATATATCATAAATAGAGCCATACGAAAGCCAGACCTAAAGGTAAGTACACTTATGGCTCCTGCAGGTGCTAAAGAAATTTAATCATTTTTCCCTCCAAGTGCAAGATTAAATTTATATATAGCCAAAACTTTAGAATAACAATAAATAGAATATAACCTTTAAAAATTGTGAATCACTATATTGTGTACCTGTAATTATATAATATTGTACAGCTACTATACTTCAATACAAAAAGATTAAATTCAGATCCTCCACTGTGCCAATCTTCTTTTTTTCTACTTGTAAGCTCTTTTTTAAATTTGAATTTTATTTTATTTATTTATTTTTTATATAGCAGGTTCTTATTAGTTATCTATTTTATACATATTAGTGTATATATGTCAATCCCAATCTCCCAATTCATCCCCCCCACACACAACTTTCCCCCCTTCGTGTCCACACATTTGTTCTCTACATCTGTGTCTCTATTTCTGCCTTGCAAACTGGTTCACCTGTACCATTTTTCTAGATTCCACATATATGCGTTAATATACAGTATTTGTTTTTCTCTTTCTGACTTACTTCACTCTGTATGACAGTCTCTAGATCCATCCACATCTCTACAAATGAGTCAATTTTGTTCCGTTTTATGGCTGAGTAATATTCCATTGTATATATGTACCACATCTTTATCCATTCGTCTGTCAGTGGGCATTTAGGTTGCTTCCATGACCTGGCTATTGTAAATAGTGCTGCAATAAACATTGGGGTGCATGTGACTTTTTGAATTATGGTTTTCTCTGGGTATATGCCCAGTAGTGGGATTGCTGGGTCATATGGTAATTCTATTTTTAGTTTCTTAAGGAACCTCCATACTGTTCTCCATAGTAGCTGTATAAATTTACATTCCCACCAACAGTGCAAGAGGGTTCCCTTTTCTCTCACCAGCATTTGTTGTTTGTAGATTTTCTGATGATGCCCACTCTAACTGGTGTGAGGTGATACCTCATTGTAGTTTTGATTTGCATTTCTCTAATAACCAGTGATGCTGAGCAGCTTTTCATGTGCCTCTTGGCCATCTGTATGTCTTCTTTGGAGAGATGTCTGTTTAGATCTTCTGCCCATTTTTTGATTGGGTTGTTTGTTTTTTTAATATTGAGCTGCATGAACTGTTTATATGTTTTGGAGATTAATCCTTCGTCCATTGATTCATTTGCAAATATTTTCTCCCTTTCTGAGGGTTGTCTTTTTGTCTTGTTTATAGTTTCCTTTGTTGTGCAAAAGCTTTTAAATTTCATTAGGTCCAATTTGTTTATTTTTTATTTTGTTTCCATTACTCTAGGAGGGGGGTCAAAAAAGATCTTGCTGGGCTTCCCTGGTGGCGCAGTGGTTGAGAGTCTGCCTGCTGATGCAGGGGACATGGGTTCGTGACCTGGTCTGGGAAGATCCCACATGCCGCGGAGCGGCTGGGCCCATGAGCCATGGCTGCTGAGCCTGCGCGTCTGGAGCTTGTGCTCCACAATGGGAGAGGCCACAACAGTGAGAGGCCTGTGTACCGCGAAAAAAAAAAAAAAAAAGATCTTGCTGTGATTTATGTCAAAGAGTGTTCTTCTTATGTTTTCCTGTAAGAGTTTTATAGTGTCTGGCCTTACATTTAGGTCTTTAATCCATTTTGAGTTTATTTTTGTGTATGGTGTTAGGGAGTGTTCTAATTTCATTCTTTTACATGTAGCTGTCCAGTTTTCCCAGCACCACTTATTGAAGAGAATGTCTTTTCTGTATTGTATATCCTTGCCTCCTTTATCATAGAGTAGTTGACCATATATGCCTGGGTTTATCTCTGGGCTTTCTGTCCTGTTCCATTGATCTATATTTCTGTTTTTGTGCCAGTACCATATTGTCTTGCGTACTGTAGCTTTGTAGTATAGTCTGAAGTCAGGGAATCTGATTCTTCCAGCTCTGCTTTTTTCCCTTAAGATTGCTTTGGCTATTTGGGGTCTTTTGTGTCTCCGTATAAATTTTAAGATGTTTTGTTCTAGTTCTGTAAAAAATGCCATTGGTAACTTGATAGGGATTGCATAGAATCTATAGATTGCTTTGGGTAGTATAGTCATTTTCACAATATTGATTCTTCCAATCCAAGAACATGGTGTATCTCTCTATCTGTTTCTGTCATCTTTGATTTCTTTCATCATTGTCTTATAGTTTTCTGAGTACA